TCAAGAAGAGAGAGAATTTTTGTATTACAGGAAACTACATGTGTAATTTACAAGTGGTAAAATTAAAAATATTGTACAACCGACTTCAATATAATTAAAATAAGAACATTATCAATGCATTTGAAATCAATAAGATACGTATTATTAAAGATAAATCAAAAACTACTGGTCAGATCACACACACATGAAGCACCAGCTTTCAGATAAAAAGAATCATCCAAATCGGTTCATCCAGAGAAAAGTTATGAGGTAATACACAAAAAAAAAACATAGAGTCAAATCGAATAACTCCTCCTTTTTGAAGTCGACAAAAACCGCGCGAATCCCTTTGAGAGAATTTAAAGCAATTAGGTATTCTCACAGAAGATTCACATTATATATTTTTATCAATATCACTTTCGTAAGATTCATGAGAACAAAAAAAAAGACAAACTGGAAACCGCTATAAGCTCGTTCCGCCTCAAAAAAGGTTCGAAGGTCAATCTTGACAATGGGCGTGGCCCTTCTATAACAAAATTTCACAATCTATTTTAGATTTGCATTTATATAGTTTAATAGAATCGGGCTTACTTTGCGGAAATCCACTATAATAAAAATATTACTTAATTTGAAACCTTTCTTAGTTAGCGGAAGGTTGCAAATTAATTTAGTATTTTTATTTATATAGTTTGAAAAAGAGAATGGATTTGACTCGCTCCAGCTATTATTGGGACTGCAGTTAAATATGGCATATTTAACTGCATTTTGCCTATATAAAGGTACCTATTATAAAGGTACCTACTATAAAGTTAGCTTATACATATCTAACACTAATTATATACTTATATAAATCTATATTGTCTTATTTTATAGTACATAATCTCTAAACTTTACTCCTATTGTAAAAAACTCATTTGTATCAAGACGAAGCGTCGCGTCGGTGAGAGTTCAAGCACACATCGCTGGGTGTACCCGCAGCGAACCGTTTGTATATACCTAGTTTCTCTTCTGTTCGGTTTCTTTACTCATTAGACCATAATATTATGGTTGTTGCAGAAATGGATCGGCTCGACCGGGGAAGGGACACGCTCTCAGAAAATACGAGCGTGAAACCGCGGTTTAATGGTGCTATTTCATATGGTAAGTGAGAACCAATGACCATTTTATTGGAAACGAGGCATTTCATCTCAGTCCACAGGATTGGCAACGCATCAGCATTTTGATTCTAAATCAAGGATAGATGTAGATGTCTATGGCCCACAATATTCATTTACCATCAAGTGGACTGTGTGCTTGTTTGTCACTTTTATTCTATAAATATTCTCCTATGTTAGTTTTATTAAATAATTTATTTTAATGGCGTTTACCACTTTTATCAATTTATTCTATAATCCCCAAACTTTAGGTCTTTTCCACTGATGGGTATATTGTGTTGTTATTTAGTAAAACGAGGAACAATATTTTTTATTATTGTTCCTCGCATTAACATGTCTCTGACCGATGACACCGATGCATCCTGACTGGCTTGATATGTTGTTCCTTGAATTTACTTTTTTATAATTTCTGATTAGTTTTCACACCATATGTTTTGCCTTGTAAATCAATACATAAAATTGCAGTTACTTAATAATGTCTATTGCATTCATAAATTATAAAGGTGAAATTAAAGATTATAAAAACATGTAAAAATTAATTTTATTTAATTTATATAAATATACATTATTCCTTATTAATTTATTTAACTATTTATGTACACAAACAAATAAGAGGATACATCACGATAAAGGGTTTTCACAGTATTTTACAATGGAATTTCTTGCAGTAGGCCATTTCAAAAGTTAATAATATATAAAAGATAAGATAAAAAGGTGCCTTCTTAATATAAGACAAATAAGCTTAAACAATATATTATATATTTGTAAATATACAAATATATTAATAAATTCTTACAGATATGGATATACACATGCATATAATTAATATTTTATAGAAAAAAATTATATACATACAACATAGTAGCTACATAGAAGACAGAAAGAAATAATGGCCTTTTTCAGGGTTGTTTCCACATACTATATTTTTTGACGACGGAACACAATGTGCCTCTGTAATTGGGCTCTGTGGTCCATAGAAACCTTTAAATATTCTCAATTAATAATCTAAATGCAAATGCATTGTCACCCCTGATCTGATAATATTCCTCATTACCATAGAGGTTTGCCGGTTGTCTACACTCACCATAAGAAACACAGCAGCATTATGTTACAATGTTACACTAGTATTCTATTTTATTTTTGTATAAACTTGTACATAAAGTAGGTTTTACACAGGCAGGGTAGTCAACCTAATTGTTTATTATAATTAGACCCCTTATTTACCCTTATCACTTTACCTTGCATCTCCCTAGGTATTTCATGTCTTTCTGTTAAATGTCTCCGCACTGTTGCTGGTTTTGCATAAGTAGCTCCACATTTATTACACAGGTAAACATATACCCTGTGTTGGACATTATTAGCATGGGATAGCATTTCACCACGTTGGTAGAATTTACGAGGGCACTGAGTGCATTGTATTTTTTTTCTCCATGTGATATATTAGATGTTTTTTCCATATTTCACATCCACGGAATGTAAGTTCGCATTTATCGCAAGTATATGGTCTCTCTCCAGTGTTAATTCTTTCATGCTCTATTAAATCAAATTTTCTTGGAGCTTTGAATGAAAAATGATGACACTGTAAGTAGGGGCCAGTGCTGTGTCGCACTACTTGATGTATCTTAAGCTCGACCTGGACAGGGAATCCTTTACCGCAATGTTCACAGATATATCGGCAACCATTGTGTCTCTGCATGTGATGGTCATAGGTGAGCTGATTTGCTAAAACTTTGAGGCATATTTTACACATTAAAGACATTGTTTTACTATCTGTACTTTTTTAACCACTCTCCTCTAATCTGTGCTTGATGTTTGCTTTTAAATAATTTTCTTCGCCTCAAAATTCTTTTCTTCTTGGAATATTTCAAATCTCCATTTACCATATTTAAATGTTTTTCTATCATCTTCTCCATTATGTCCAACAAACACTCATCATTTTGTGTGTTATTTAATTCTGATTCAGATTCAGTAATAGTATTTTGATCTAAATGGTTGCTTTCAATTTCCGTTTTGCTATGTGTAGTCATGGTCACTTTGTATGAACTGTTCATTACATGTTTCAGTATTTGTTGTCTTTAGTTGCATCTTTTCCTTATCTCTGTTTCGTTGATCAATACCATTTGGAAGTTTTTCACGAACATAACTTGATAATTCGGTGGGACAATATAGGTACGACTTTCCATTGACGTCCATCGAATTGAGTGGGGGAGAAGGAGGGGGTTAATACCCCCCCCCTTCTCCCCCCTAAAAAGAAACTTGCGGAGCTCCCCCCTTTTATAGTTTTTTCATTTTTAATTCTGAGAAAATTTTCCTCATTTTATGGATTAATATTAAGTGTAAAAAACCAAGAGGACACCTTGGGGGAGGGAGGTTCCCCCCCTACGGAAGGGGGAACTCCCTTCATCAGAAAAAAATAGGGGGACTGATTGAGAGGGATTTCTGTGTCTATTTTGAGACTGCAATGTCTACGGCGCTGCGGGAAGAGCAGCCTCTTTGCCTTTACGTAACAAATCGTAGGCATCGGACGAGCCGGAGCAGCTGAGGCTGGTCGCCGAAGGCGACCAACAAGCCGAAGCTGCGGAGGCGAGGCGAAGCTGCTCTCCATACGCGCCTCCGGCTCTATAATAACACTCTAGGGGTAGGACAGACTCGTACCAAGTGGAGTCGGGGTCAACCAATTCGGTTCTTCGACATAAGTTAAACCTAACCTATTTTATTTACTTACTTTTAAAATAAAAGAAATCAAATAAAATTCATAATTTATTAATTAATTTTATGTACATATTGTATTGCTTTAATTCTTTGAAAACATCTTTATGTGCTATTTTTATTTTTCTTCGCCAAGAATATTCAATTAGCCAGTCTGTAAAGTTTGCTTTATAACTTTCTCTACCGAACATCACTTTTAAATTTCGCCAGTGGCTTTCTATTAATTGTGTGTGTGTCCCATCTGGTGCCACAAATTTATTTATAGGGTCGCTGTGATTAACTTTCTTATGTATATATCCATATTGAGGTAGGCAATCGTAGGCTCTCCGAAAATCGGTATGGATTTCAGTGCCTACCATATACCACATGCTTTTGTATTAGTGGCACCATCATTTCCGCAGATCTATCATTATCGGGACACACTTCTAATCTCAAATCATCTTTCTCATTTTCTATCATGTCCAGCACCCAATGGCCTGCAATGTGTCTCCCTCTGTTGTACTTTCGTTTTCCAAATTTTGATACGTCTATTTGCACGATTTTGCCTGGACCACCAATCTTGCCGTTAACTTCTTGGTGCTCCAATTCATAAACAACTACTGTCTCTCGGCAGTAAGAAAACCAGTCAGTTATTGTCTTTGTTGATAAAATTGTTTCTTTATCTTCATGAGCTGTCTCTACTTTAACTTGATGATAACTATATTTTTGGCTGAACATATACATCAGTAAAAATGGTAACTCGATGGACAGCCGCGCATTCTCGAACCATGTTCCCGCTGTCCAACTCACTACCTTAGAGCGACAGTTACTCTTCTTGCATCGAAATATGCAAGCTGACCAGTCTTACTGCTGGAGCTTAACGCCATAGGTTTCCTATGATATGAGCACATTTTTTCTGTAGGAAGGAGCCTATGCTCTTCAGCAAATGCAATGCACTGAGCTGAGGTGTTGAGCCGGGTTATGATTTTATACATATTCCAGTGGCACCTAAAACAAGCAAAAATATTCCTATTAGAAATCTAATTACTGCTTTACTCGTCAGCTTCTTCTGTGAAGTTTACATATGTGCTATATAAGAAACCACAGTGAACCAATCTTATTTCCTCGGCATAGTAGTGGACTCTTCGGCCAGACGAACCAGGAGCTCGAAGTTCCGCATTAGCCACGCTGCACCGACACGGTACTGGGAACAGTGGCGCGGGAACTACCAGCTATTGATTTCGATAGCACAGTCATGGGCACAAGTGGCTCACTAGAGTCCAACACTTGCACACACGGGGGGCCTGCAGAAGAGCTCGCGACAAGTGGTTCATCAGAGTCCAACACTTTCACTACACTCAATTCTACAGACGGCACTTCACCACACGGGGGGCCTGAAGAGGAGCTCGCAACAAGTGGCTCATTAGAGTCTAACACTTGCACTACACTGAATTCTTCAGACGGCACAGCAGAACACGAAACTTGGGGCTTCGGAGACGCCATGGTGGTATTCAAACGTTGTTTTCAACGACAGGAGTACGTAAACGATCTCAACTGCTAGGGACACAAACAATGAGTTTGTTCCTGAGCAGTTGATGAAACTGACAACACAAAATAGCGTCAGTTTTACGTTTCGATCCACAAGCCGGGAAAAGACCGTAAACACTGCACATTTTAATTTTAATAGCTCGTAATGAAAATAATTCTGTTATTTAAATATAAACTAAAAACTATATAAATATATATGTATGATAAAACTATTAAAATGAATACAAAATATAATTATTTACGTAAATTTATATAAAATGAAATGTTACCCAACATATGTCAAGTTAACCGTACTTAAAACGGAACATTCAATGGCGTGATATATCTGTAATACGATATAATCTATGGTAGGAATTGACATAAATATTGCAAAGAATATTGATTTTAAATATCAACCCCCAACTCGACGGACGTCAATGGAAAGCTTAGCCAAAATATATATTATATATTGAGTACTGAACCAGATTTTCCATTAAATTTTCTAGGGTAATATTGGAAAGCTCTGCTAGGTTTTTTAATTTTTTATCACTAAATTCACAATTCAACTTGAAGAAAATAACTTGTTTTAATAGGAACAAACACTTCCCACACATATTTTTAGGCAAATTATCATCAGGTTGAAGAAAAATATTCACAAATGTTTTAACAGCTTTTCCAGAATCACTCAAATTGTTTATATCTTGAATTAAGCACACAATGTTTTCATTTTTAGAGAAAGATAAACATAAGCGACAGATATTTTTATAAACTTTCTCGTATGCAGACATTTCTTAATTTTAGTAATACTTTATAAATTTTTGCTTTACAATTTACACCTGTTTGTGCCTGTTTGTTTTGTTTTGAACTTTTGACAATTTGACACTGCACCTCTGCCTATGGAATTTAATAAGGCAGTTAAGGTAGGCAAAGATATTAGATCATACAGCCTTTTTTTTTTCGTCTAAATTTTAAAGAACTTTTATAATTTTTTTATTGCACAGACTTTCATCACAATTATTTTTACAATAATTATTTTATTGCTTTCAAAATTTTTATTTTCAAAATCACTCGCAACGTATATACGTTATAATATACATACCCTGTAGCTATTCGAGCGCTGTTGTGGAGAGTTTTTGAACTGTTATTTACTGCTTATGGATGGACATACTTTCGACCATTCTCCTATAGGAGATTGTCCTCTTTACTAACACTTGCACAGACAGTAAAAATAATTTCTCAGGTGGAACACGTGTACCAATCATTGTTAAGTAATTAAAAACAATTTTATACAATAAAGGAAACTGTATCTTATAATCCTTTCTATATGCCCAATGAGTTTGCATTCAGTCTCCATATAAATTATACCGTGACAGTCTATTAAAAAAAATTACTGAACATGTTTATGTTTCCCATAGATTGCGGCATAGACGGATATTTGACATAATGGCTACAGAGACAATCGTTAAAAATTGATTAAAACGTTCCTGCCGCTTAACCACCTACAACGTGACGTGCTACCACCGCTCTGGCGGAAGCACCTCCTCCGCCAAAACAGTGGGAACGAAAGATCCAATGTCATTCCAAATAATTTTCTTTACGTAATGGGACAGTAAGCAGACAATTGACATAAAAAACGGCTAATTTGAATATAACAATAAAACTAGGTAGGATAAATCATTTTACTTCGTTGAGCGAATATGGGCAAGGTAATTCTTACCAACTTTAATGCGATGAAAATCCTCACAGCCTGTAACTATATCGGCTCACTTATTCCTCGTACCGAAACATGTGTTTGATAGCAGCAATAGGCATGAGGGTATACAAATCAAAGCGGACCCTAATTCAGTATTCATTAATTCATTAATTATCATCATCATCAACAGCTGGAGTTTTTTTTGCCAGTGATGTTGGATATTAATAATTAAAAAAATTTTAATAGCATTGGGTGACAAACGAGCGCACAGTATATCATGGTGGTAAGTGGATGCTGTGGCCATATTCACCCGCAATTAAGAAATAAAATGCAAATACTTTGTCACCCCTGAGTACTAAGATGGAATACCTTGATTCCAGTAAAAAAGGGTGTCCGGTTCTCTATACACATCATACGAAACTCAGCAGCATTACGTTGCATTACGCTGGTATTCTGTGAGCGCGTGGTCCTGTCTCGGTCTAGCCGACTCGTTCGTGCTACAGCTATAATACGGTTGCAGCGTGGCTCTAACACGTAAAAAATAAGCCAAAAAAAAAGCCCATAGCTGAACACAGGCTTCCATATATTGCTTCGTAAAGGGGATATTTGCTATAGTTGCCACGCTGACAGGCAGGTTGGCAAATGCAGTCTTTTTTTGTTTAGTTCTTTTTTCATTTCTTTCTTTTATTTATTTAATGTTGTTGTCCTTTTCTTGTTTCACTTCCCTCTGTCGCCTCGTACGAAAATCACGGGATGATATAGGATCTTAGGTAAATATCACTTGTGTACTACATACTCTATAGTATAGAGTAATGCAAGCGCAATAGAATCCACTTCGCTATAGAGTCTAAAGAGAAGTGGATTATATTGCGCTGACACAAAGCGGCTACATTTAATTACATATATTTATTCTGTTTTTATTAATATCTAACTATCCTGTACGTGTGTTTGTCTACAAACTCCTCAGAAACGGCTTTTTATAAAATAAGTGTGGCCAACGAATACACAGACTACATGTTGGTAAGTGGATGCTGTGGCCCATAGAAATCTACATCTATCCTCAATGAGAAATATCACCCCTGAAGATGAAAATGGAAAGCCTCGTTTACAGTGGAAAGGGTCTCCGGTTCACTTACACTACACTCACTGCTATTTTACGCTGATATTTTGTGAGAGCGTGATCCTACACCGGTCGAGCCTATACATTCTTGATACAACCATAATGTTGCTATAGTAAGGCGTTTAAACTGGACTAATAAAAAAATTTGTTTGAGTATGTTTATAGATTCATGGATGGTTTTTTAGATTCAGGAACTATTTTAAACTTATGAAACTTCTTCAAGAATACTTCATGTGGTTTACTAGAGCTGTACAGTTATTAGTATTTTAATACGATGGACTTATTATAATTTCACGGCATTAAGCGTGCGAAATCTCCACTTTGGGTTTCCCGATGTCTCAACGTCTGAGTTTTTTAATGAGCTCATAAATATGTCAGATGGGCGTTGAGCATGACAGCAATTAAAATGAGAATGTTTTAAGTCACAATTAATTAACTTTTTTGGTTTTTGAGCTTTATTAAGTGGATATTATACAAAAAACAGAATTGAGAAACCGACTCTGAAAAAGAAGAAGGTTCTATATTCCACACGTTTGCGTTTATGTATGCTCACCGACAACTCTGACACGGTCTTGAAATTTAAAATGGCCTTTTTTATTACATAATCCAGACTGAATTTATCACAGTATTCAACGGAGTCTAGGATTATAGTGCCTAAGAGTATGTGCAAGCACAGGTGAACTAACTATTCTCTCTCATTGTCCGAAGGTAATGTAATTCGATACGACCGGATAGAGACCAGATGCAGGACCGACGGCTTAACCTGCTTTTCGAGACACGTGGGTGAAACACCGTCAGTTTCGTGACTTCGGAATTCAAACTCAGTACCTCATCAGGATCAGCAATCACGTTTACGACCATTAGACTAACGAGACAATCACAGTTAGTCAGTTTTTATAAAACGTGTTGTTCAAGGGTTGTATTTAAATTTAAAGAAAAATTCTACCACAAGTATTGGAAAAGAGAGATGAGATTTGTATAGTCCCTAAAACACATTCTAGTTCTTACATTGAGCTTGAGATATTGTTTAGAGTAAACTAAGCAATAAAAGCATAAATAAATTAAATTATAATATAAAGTAAAATCCGAGTTCAAAAAGTTGAAGCTAAGATTTAGTATATCGAAAGTTAATGCAATGATTTGAGAAGCCCTTTTGGTACTATTCCTTTTGGTTTTTGAAGCTGCCCATCTACTGTTTCAGTTTTTCTCTTAGAATGTTCAGATATATTTTAATCATACATTCATAACTCATCACGTGATACGATAAGTTTGTACTTTTTTATTTCGGAAACCAACAGCGTGTACAGAAAATAATTAACGTTAATGTAACAAATTAAAGGTATAGCCAATAACAGGTTTCTCTTACAATGCTTGATGGTATATTTTATTTAAATATATAGGAATAAAAATAATCTAAAAGACAAATCATAAGCAATTCAGTGTAACGAAGTTGCTCACGATCTTACAAATATGTTGAGTTCTTTGACGGTCTGGCAAATTGATATTATATATTACATAAATGCATATACATACACGCACATAAAAAGAATAAATATATAAACATAATAAAAATAATTAAGTATATATAAAATAACTTATATTTGTTGTTTATATTAGTAGCCACAAAAATACATATTAAAAAAAGAAAGAGAATATGTGATTTAACTTCAACTGCTATGGCTCTAAATGGTTTTCTTGATGACACGTTTAAACATAACTTTAGGTTTCGCCATGACGTCAATGTGTCCAAACTGTTCATTAAACGTGCATGTGAATTACGAGAGAACAGAGTTCGGTAGTAATTTATATGGTGCCAGTGAGTCTGTAACCTGATTGTATAGCAGGTACGGTATTTTGGGGTACAGAAGATGATTTTTGAGACAAGATTTGGACTAATCACATCATACAAATAAGCTATGTCAAGCACAATACGCCTGTGTTCCAAATAAAGAAATCGTGCTCAGTACAATTGTCTGTGTAAGTATCAATTTTTTTACGACAGCGCAATTTAAGGTGAGACAAATAGTTTTTAAGTTCACTCAAGACGGCTTTTATAAAAATTATATTGTGGAGACCATGTCGAACTAGTATATTCCAAAACGCTACTGACATACGTAAAATAAACCATTTTAATTGCATCAATATCAGAGAATGGTTTAGAGA